GTTGCACGTTCGCTCCCTGGTTGGGGTACATATGAGAAGACAACCAATCAATGTTTCTCTCACATTGCATGCATTCTCTCTCTCTGTAAAGCAATGAAAAAAAATGCCCTAAGGTGAGGATATAATAAATAAATAAATAAATAAATAAATAAATAAATAGCTAGCTAGATAAATAAATAAAATGGAGCCAGAGCTGCCATCCCAGAGAAACTGCCTTGCAAGTCATGCCTCAAACCTTTGGAATGTTAAAAATGGGCAGAATAATCTTTGGACTGGCCCTAAAGAAACCTTGTGCCCCAAAGGACTGTTTGCAAAAATAACAGGAAAGCAGATATTATGACTATTGAACTGACAACTATTGAACTGAAAATTTAAAACTTTATTTAGAATTAATATCACTATATTATCTGCACCAATAGAAATGCCTTCCTCCTATTGATGTAATTGTTCCCCTTCCCTTCCTCATAAATATCCATTGTCTTTTTTTTTTCTAATTGGAACACTATTTGAGCTTCTGCCTGAATCAGTGCATCCCAAATAGCTCCTCTTTGATCTCAAATAAATGGTGTTGCCTTTCACTTTGAAAGGCAGATGCAAAGAAATTTATGATACAAAAGAGAGGAGGGAAGAACTGCTGAAAAGATGTCCCTAAGTAGGGGTAGGAATATAGGGATAAAGGGGACCCAAAGGAATGGCCACAGAAGGCAGCAGAGATGGTTCGTGTAAGGTTATCTGGCAGGGTGGGTGATACATAAGATGATAGCTGTGTAGATAAATGGGAGTGTATGAGATTCTCTCCTGGTTGCTACTATTGTATCCCTATTAACTTAGCAAAGCCCCATTCTGAGAAAACTATAAACCAGAATGCAAACCATTCTTTTGAGGTCATGGAGTTGTGATAAACTTATACAGGAAAGCTGGGTGGGAAAGGCCTTGGAGAGAAACCTTTCCTAAGTTAGGAAATGTCAGGATCAAGGCTGGGCAGCAGCAACTGCATGACAATGGTGCCATTATGCACAGTGCACAATGCAAAAGAAGCAGCATTACCATTTAGTTTTTACTTTATTTGTTCCTAGGTAAAATCTCACTATTACCAATCTTTTACTTATACCTTGCTTCCTACAAATATGAAGATTCTGTAGCTATATTAGTGTTAAGTCTGCCAAGCTGACCAGCTAAAGTACAGTACTGTACTTAATAATCTAAGGCCCACCTATAATTAAAGGCCTGTACATCTCACTACCTTAAAATGCTACACAAAAACTTATCGGTTCACAAATATTAACAGCAACATCCTGAAACCTCAAGACATTTAATTAGAAGATTAAAGTTGTCAGGATGTACTGTATCTGGCCATCACCTCACTGTAAGTAGCAAAATTGGACAGATCATGGAATGCCAACCGGACTACTTGTCTCAAAGGGAAGCCTTTCAAGCACTCCAATCCATTAAGTCTAGGGGATTGATTATACAGACTGCTATACTTTCTCTAAGTTTAGATTTGTTCCAAAGTCAATAAACTTTACACGTACATCAAAACAAAACAAAACAAAACAAAACCCTGTTCCAGTCCTATAAGTTCATGTGCCCATAAGTAGTAGTATACTAAATTTATTCTGGCATTTCAGGCAACTAAAAATGGTAACTCTAATTCATTCACTCATAATTTTGGCTGATTGCTAATCTGAATGACCAAAATTGATAGAGTAGTTCTGCACTTCAACAGGGTAACCACACAGAGTCATATTTTTGAGGAATTAATATGTTCATTTTCCACAGAAGCAAAGAGAAGTCAATTGTGATTCTGCTCCAAAATATAGAAACTGTAGTTTGCCACCACAGAAGAAAAATCTATTAACATAAAGATAATGCAATCTAACTCTACTAAACAACTGTTAATCTTGTACCTCAGAGGTGGAGAAATTTTTTCAATAAAGTGCCAGATAGTATTTTGGGCTTTATAGGCCATATGGTTTCACATGTAACTACTCAATTCTTCCATTGTAGGGCAAAAGCAGCAAAAGACAATGCATATATAAATAGGAGCAGCTATGTCCCAATAAAACTATCTATGAACACTAAAATTTGAATTTTATACAACTTTCATGTGTCATGAATACTCTTTCTTTGATGTTTTCAATCATTTGAAAAAATGTGAAAGCTACTCTTAGCTCACAGATCCAACAAAATATGACAGCAGGCCAGATACTGCTTGCTCTATCTGATAGGCAGTTTTTGGTCACTAATAATGACCACATATCCAAATTTTGGTAAAGAAAGCTAAAGAGACAATGTAGACAGAAAATTAGAGATCAGTTTTTTTGACCCTGAGAATATGTGCCAAAAATATATGTGCCAAGAATACCTGCCAAAAAGGATCCCATGTGGTTAATTGGTCTCAAATTTATAACAGGCATCTACCAGCTTTTTTTTTTTTTTTCCAGAGGGGCTACTCTTGCACACTGCATGTCAGAGAAAAGCCACAGACAGAACCGTGCTCCTGACTTCTGAGGCACCCCTTATAAGAGAACTCCTGGGATCAAAATGTGTCCAATAGGACTGAGACCTTCCAAGTCCAATCAAAGCTACACAGGTATACCCTCATGTGCATCTTTACTGACCAATTAATACAGTGCTTTTCAGGGACTGGGAGTGGGCACTCTTCCATATATAAGTCACCTTCATCTCTACCTGAACAGAATGCACTTTTCATTTCTATTGAAGGCTGTATTTCTCCATAGAAACTGTTATACTGGAACTGTAACATCTGAGCTGACTCCTCAGGGCTGCTTCGTTTGCGCTGCCTGACAGCCTAGCTGTTTCACAATTGAGCTGTTTCACTGAATAAAGTCTGCCCCTTCACCACACCTTAAACTGGGGACTCCTGTTGGTTTTGAATTGGCAGTGACATCCTTCAACTGACAGTTTCAAGATCCTTGTTCTGCTACTAGTAGAAGGAGGTCATTGTTATTGCTCTTCTGGAGCATTAACAGACTGCCCTGGTCACTCGGCCTCTTGCAATACCTGAAAACCAGTTAGAAGGTTCCTAAAGACCCAGAAATAGAAGGCTTTGGGAAAAGCAATCAAGGTGAACAAAGTATCAGGCAGACATTACAGAGCTCACAGTCTTCAAGAACAGCTGTCAAACAAGGGCTCTAAAAATCTCAAGGTATGCCTTTTAAAAATGTGCTAGTAAGGGTTTCAGTTCTAACATGGCTACCACAGTCTAGTAGGATAAACACAGTTAGACCCAGATGGCAGGTTTCCGAGCTTGGAAAATTAAGTATGCATAATAAGCTATGAAATGAAATTTTAAAACACTGGCTATGGCATCTGTGGATGAAAAAAGGGCCACATACTAAACCTGACAAGCTCAGGGAAGGCCTGTATGGTGGGCCTCACAAACTCAGTAACCACGTAAGATGGTCTAAACAAAATTCCTAATTAAAAGAGGGCTATGACAGAGAGTCACATCCTAGGCCTATACCTTCCTTGACAAAAGTCAATCTTTACCTTAAGTGAGCCTATTATCTTTTTGCATCTAAGATAATCATCTTTCCCAGATCCCACAAGGCACAACCAAGGCATCAAAGCACGAGACCACAGAACTCTTCATTATCTTGCTGCTCACACACCTTCTATTTGTGCTATGAAGGTTAACCATCCTGTCTGTACCCACTGATGTAAAAGACGTCTCTCCATTTGCCTTACATACATTCCCTGAGATTTTCATGCCTTTTCCTCTGTCCCCTTAACCTACCACCAATGGATTTCATGTAAATATCCTTATGTCTCCCCTGTTTATTCTAATGTATAAAGATGCAAAACTGCCATTCTCCAGAGCATTTTCTCAATCTGTCAAGATTTTGCTTCCTCCCAACTGTTTTCAATTTTGCTCAAATAAACTCATAAAATTTCCCTACAAACGTGGACATTTGTAAATGCTTCTGTTACTAATGGTCTTTTCCTGTGGCCACAGACTTGGGGTACTAGACACTCACGCACCCATATCCTGACTTAAGGCAAACATTTCAGAGCTGCCAGCTGCTCCCTGTGGACTATCCTGCCAGCCTAACTGGAAAAGTCAGCTTCTTTTCAGACTCCTTCCAGGTGCCAGATGGCACAGAACCCCACCACCACCACCACCACGCCCACCCTTGTCCCAGTTATAACATCTTTCTCACACCTGGACATCAAAAGGTAAAAAGAGGTAAGTGGAGGTCTGGTCAGGTAGCTCAGTTGGGTAGAGAGCCTTGTCCTGATACACCAAGGTTGCAGGTTCCATCCCCAAAGGCAGGGCACATGTAAGTATCAACCAACGAATGACAGGAAGCAACCAATAAATGCATAAATAATTGGAACAAATTGATGTCTTTCTCTCAAATCAATAAATAAAAATTAAAAAAAGAAATAGGTAGAAAGCAACTACAAAGGAGGGAAAACTCACTTAACTTTTTTGTTTTTTATAGCCATAAGAGAGGAGAGAGAAACATCAATTTCTTAATACTTGTATATGCCCTGACCATGAAGGAACCCACAACCCTGGTGTATCAGGATGGGATTATGCTCTAACCCAGCGGTCCCCAACCTTTTTGGCACCAGGGACCAGGTTTCATGGAAAAAGGGGTGTGGGGGAGGAGGCAGAGCTCAGGAGAACTTCCTTGCTCAGCAGCTGTGGATGGGGGTAGGTGGAGAGCCAGGAGGCAGGAGGAGTTCAAGGGAGCTTCGTTTGCTGCTGATTCCTAACAGGCCCCAAACCTGCGTCCCGCGGGTTGGGAACCCCTGCTCTAACCAATTAAACTACCTAGCAGGGGTGCTTCTTAGCTTCTTGTTGCTAACATAACCACTACCCGGGTGACGATTACGCAGCTGTCCCCCTCCTGCGCACTCCTAGAGTGTCTGGGATATTGCTGTTTTCAGGCGTCTTACTTGGGAGGCGGGGCATGAAAGGGTCATGTGACCCTCACAACTCCACCCACGTGTTTCTTGCCCACGCCTTACGCTTGCGCAGCTGCGTGGGGAGGGGAGCAGTTGGAACGTCTAGGCTGCTGATGGGATGGGGTTAAGCGTCAGAGCCGTTTTCTTTGACCTGGACAACACGCTCATCGATACCGCTGGGGCGAGTAGAAAAGGCATGTTGGAGGTAACTTCTTCCTGGTACCCGTAGCCCTCCTCAGCGTAGTCAGTGTGTCTCACCCGGTGCTGCGTTATTTCCCATTCCCTTGGTGTCCTCCCCCTCCACTTACACCGCGCCCGGGGTCGGTGACCTCTCAGGATCCCGGGAAGCACTCGTGCGGGGAGGAACAGATAAAAAGGACGAGTGAGCTAGAGAGGTTGCCTTCTCTAAAGCCTGGCAGCTTAGGTTACCTGCCTATCTATCCGCAGGCTCTGGGAAACAGCGGGCGCTTTGAGACCCGGAAGGATGTCGGGAAAGCTGCTACGATGGCAGAGTTGCCCAAAAACATAGAGAGACTGTCAGACCACGCCGAGTCACCTGGCTTTTTTTTTTTTTTTTTTTTTTAATCAGGACAGGTTTGAATCAGGTTGAGTCCACGCAGCAGGCTTCCTTTGATTGACCTTGGGTCAGGGTCCACTGTGTGTTCTCCAGCGGATCTTTGAGGAGACCCAAGAAGTTACAGAACTATAAGTGGTGAGCCTGGACTTAATCGATTCCAGAGAGTTTTCTCTGCAGAAACTCCTCTAGTGTATTTCTGAAGTGAAAGTAAAAAGTCCCACCTACACAGGGTACTTCTTTCATGAGACATTGCTCAGCAGCATTTTCTCCTTTCTATACTCACAGATGCTGTATTAGGCCTTAACTGTGTTTTTCAGGCAACCTAATCCACTCCTGCTTTCTTCCCTCTGCCTTCAGTTTTCTTTTAATTGTTGTTCATGTACAGTTTTCTCCATTTTCCTCCCACTACTCTCCCCCACCCCTCCCACCCTCAATCCTACACCCCTTTGGCTTTGTCCATAGGTTCTTGCCTTCAGTTTTAAGGAGAAAACCAAGGATTATCAGATGTGAAAAACCCACTTTCAAAAGCTAACCCTTCCAACCTGTGTGTCCCTTCCAAACTAATGTTTCATTAGTTAGGTTTTGTCTCCCTGGATCTTCATCTTAGTGCATTCCATTCCTGCATATTCAGGTCTGCCCATAAAAAAATGCTTCCTTTGGACCTTTCTTCCTCCTCCACTAGATGTTACCTGTATCTCTTGACAGTCATATTTTCCCAGAGAAATCTATACCTATTATCTCCTGTCTCTATCTCCTGTTTATTCCTAAATTTATTCATTGTGGTGTCCGTGTTTTCCACTAGAATCAAATTGAGAGGTAGGTACCTAATGTATCTTCCAAATGGCCAGAATCAGTGGGCATTTTAAGTCTGTCTTAATGACTCAGCCATTCCACACTAATAAAGTGTCCCTTTAATTTCTACACTCTTGAATTTGACCTCAGGGGCACCAGCCTGTGCTATATAGTCTCCAGTATATCTGGGTGCTGATGGTACATATTTACGTGTGTGTTCTGGCAGGCCAAGCCATCATGTGTTACAGTTAGGCCAAATCATACTGTAGGTGGAGAGTTCAGGCTTTAAATCAGGCATTTGAGTTTAAATCACAACTCCCTCAGTACCTAGCTCAAAGTACCTAAACAAATTATTTAACCACTCTAAACCTCAAATTCTCATGATAAAATTTGAATAAAGATACTAGTTCTCAATAACTCTATCAGGTAAGCTTAATATTGTGCAGGGGAAGTCCACAGCATCCAGTGTTCACTTGATGAATTGTGCAACCATCCACCCTGACACTCAGTTCATTACCTCCTGCGCATTCTCCTGGCCCTTATCTTAGTTAAAGCTGGACTTGTCTCTCATATAGATTGTTGCTGTGGTCTTGTCCACATTCCTTCCATGGTATAGTTTCTGAAACATGTTATGTTGTGTTTCTCCCTGGTGTACACACTCACTTATACCAGCACTATATTTTGTTTAGATAACTCCTGATACACTTACTACAATTATTTTTTGCAACTCAGATGCCCACAACTAAACAACGAGATTCTTAATGAATGAGCTGTTAGTCATGTTCATTTGACACATGGTAAATGTTGAATGAATGCTGGATGGATGGATGAAAATTCAAGTCTCCCCACACTTGGTACTGTTGCCACTTCCTTGAACTCTATACTTTTGAGTATCAAGAATGCTTTATTACATAAAAATATAACAACATCCATAAATGTCCTATTTAATAGAAACATGTCTTTTTAAAAATAAATTACTCTGCTTGAGTTATGAAAAGAGGAAAGGGGGAAGGTCTAGCCATTGCCTTAGGCTTGGGAAGCAGGAGTCATATACTGTTAAGATAACCTTTAATTTTTTAAAAATCTTCTGGGAAACTTGTTTCCACCTTCAGGCCAGTCTCAGTATCACTATTCAAGAGGAAGACTTGTAGAGAACTTTAGCATTCCTCAGTGAACAAAGGAGAAAAAATTTCTGCATATGGGCTTACTTTCTAGTGGGGATGACACTGAACATAATACATTAAGTGCGTGTATAAGTGTGTTAGGCAAAGTAGAGAGGGGAACAAACCACAGTTTTGTTTTTCTATGGAAACTATAATTTTATTTCAGGGTGAAAGTGGGACATACTTTTAGATCGATTGAAGAGAAGAGATAGTGGATCATTGGCTTTCAGTATAATCTCATTATTGTCAGCAGGGGAAGCTTAATTAAGGTGAACTAACTTAGTCCTTCCTGGACTGGGTGGTTCCTTGAAACAGCTGTACAACCTTTACAAAGGCAGGTTTCCAACAGGTGCCTATAAGGAGAAGCCATAAAAACTTATGCTCCAGTAGAACTAACAGAGTGTGGATTGACCAGCCAAAATTTATTTTGGCAGTGCTTCTGGAATTTAGTTTTCATTATGTCTGAGGATGGTTAAATTGGTTTGCTTTTCTGTAGCCTCTGCATTTCCTTAAGCACCTCCTATTCTGGTTCTTAGCTGAGCCATGAGGGGACCATGAGGGGGATGTGCTCATGGAGACTTCACAGATTGTAATCTGGAAGGAAGGGCAGAGCTCCAGATAGAGAGTTGGGCATCTTAGGACCTGGATTATGGGGTCTGGATTTAGGGTTCCTGGGGCGTGGTTCCTGTCCCAGGCTCTAGAATGCCAATTAGCTCTCAGAAGCTTCTGAGACCCAGAGGTCTTTGTCAGGCTAGCATCTCCTTTGTGAGTTTTCTTCTGTTGACTCAGCTCACTCATTTCATAGTTGTAGAATTATATCATGTAAAGATTCTTCTAATCCAAGTACAAAAGTAAATTTCATAAATTTCATCTAAGGGAGTTTAATGTTTTAGAATTTTTTTTTTTTTGAGAGCTAGGTTTCTCTAAGAAAACATGTGTGATAGTAAACCTTTAAGTCATATATATATTTATTTATTTATTGTTGTTCAATGAAAGTTGTCTCAGTTTTTTCCCTCTGGCTCTCTCCTGCCCTGCCCACACCCCTACTCCTTTGGTAGATCCCTTCCCTGTTGTCCATTATCATGGGTCCTTTATATTTCATTGACTGCACCCTTCCCATTCTCTCTCCCATTTTCCCTCCCCCCATACCCTCTGGTCACTGTCAGTTTGTTCCCTATTTCCATGTCTCTGGTTCTAGTTTGCTCGATCGGTTGTTTTGTTAATTAGGTTCCACTTATAGGTGAGATAATATGGTATTTGTCTTTCCCTGCCTGGCTTATTTCACTTAGACTAACACTCTCCAGTTCCATCCATACTGTCTTGAAAGGTAGGAGTTCCTCCCTTTTTTCTGCTGCATAATATTCCATTGTGTAAATGAAACACAATTTTTTGATCCACTCATTTACCGATGGGCACCTGGGCTGTTTCCAGCACTTGGCTATTGTTAAATAAAGCTGCTATGAACATTGGGGTTCATAGCTACTTTTGTATTGATGTTTCGGGATTCTTGGGGTATAATCCCAGAAGCAGGATCACTGGGTCAAAAAGCAGTTCCATCTTAAATTTTTTGAGGAAATTCCGTACTCTTTTCCACAGTGCCAGCACCAGTCTGCATTCCCAACAGCAGTGTACTCGGGTTCCCTTTCTCCCACAACTTCGCCAGCACTTGTTGTTTATTGATTTGTTAATGATGGCCATTCTGATCAGTGAGAAGTTGTATCTCATTTTGCTTTTAATATGCATCTCTTTGATGGCTAGAGATGTTGAGCATTTTTTCATGTGTCTGTGGGCCCTCTGTATGTCCTTCTTGAAGAAATGTCTGTTCAGGTCCTTAGCCCATTCTTTAATTGGATTGTTTGTCTTCCTGGTGTGGAGTCATGTGAGTTCTTTATTATTTTGGAGATCAAACCCTTGTCCAAGGTGTCATTGGCAAATATGTTTTCCCATACAGTTGGTTCCCTTTTCATTTTGTTGATGTTTTTGTAAGCCGTACGGAAACTTTCTAGGGGTTTTTTTGGTGTACTTTTTATTTTTTATTTTATTTCTTTAAGATTTTTAAATCATGTTTATTCTATCACAGTTGCCTCAATTTTTCCTCCTTTACCCCCCTCCACCCATCTCCCCCACCCCCCCCCACAGTCAATTCCCACTCAGTTGTCCATGTCCGTGAGTCATTCATACATGTTCTTTGTCTAGTCCCTTCCCCTTCTTTCTACCATTGTCCTCTTTCCCCATCCCCTCTGACCACTTTCAGTCCGCTCCATGTTTCCATGCCCGTGGTTTATTTTGTTCATTAGTTTATTTTGCTGAACAGATTCCACTTATAGGTGAGATCATACGGTATTTGTCTTTCACCACCTGTCTTATTTCCCTTAGCATAATCTCCAGTTCCATCTATGTTGTCGCAAAAGGTAGGAGTTCCATCTTTTTTCTTTCTTTCTTTCTTTTTTTTTAAATGCAGGTTGATTTTATTTATTTTTTTAAATGTCAAAGTCAATTATAAAATATTAAAAAATTTAAAACCATTATAAAGTCTCAGCAATTAAAACAACATGACACCAGCACAGAAATAATCAAGTATATCAATGAAATATAATGGGCATTCTAGAAACTAACATATATATCTAACAATGTAATATATGATTAAATTGATATTTCAAATCCATGGGGAAA